TCTCTCGATGAGGTCTTCTAAACGCAAGAAGGTCAACATCACGGCTGTACCGGTGCTTTCATTTTCTTCAGGTATTCCATCTGCTGTTCTGCAGTGAGGATCAAAATAACCAAACCTCCCTGAGCGATCTCTGAATACGGCGATACACGTGCATCCACCAGCAGCAACGCGTCACTTACATCAGCTCTGAGGCACTGCAGAGTATTCTCGAGGTTTTCATACCCGCCTAGCTCAGGTGTATCTTTTAGAAGACCAACTCTCTCGGGATGTTTCAGGATGTTGTAGCAGGCTGAATTGGTCTTAACTGTGTTTGGCAGCTCATCAAAGTTTAAATGATCAAGCACAAATTGTCCTTTGCTCCGCAGTGTTCGTTTGACACTAGTGTAAACTGCATCACCTTTTTGTAAAATGCGGTCTAAATCAAAACCGAGTAGCTCATTACGTTCAGTATGGAAAGCTAGGAACATTAAGGCATTGCAAGTACACTGACGGCCTCTGGAGTAAATCTTGTACCTAGGATTGCTTTGACAGTGGGATGCTGTAACAGACAGAACATTCGGGTTCGCATCGACGCTGTTTGACACAAAGTTACCGCTACTGGAGCCACACGAAGCTTCCTGCTTTCTGCGCTGTCTCTGAGATTCACTTCTCTTACCTTTTCTTGGCATGTTTTAACACTGAATAATAAATTTAGTAAATATAAAGATTTACTACTGAGTATTGAATACTTATTAAATAGCACTCAAAATTAATATATTTTATCAAAAAGTTGTCAAATGCTCCTTCAATATGAAAACTGTAGCCTACAAGTCAATTTCTCCCTCTCTCTTACCGTTTCTGAAGATTCAGCCAGTGAAAGCAAACGGTAGTTTGCAAAACACCAAATAAACACACTTACTCAACAAATTACAGTTCTTATTCTTGACGTTTGTATTACAATATATCAGTTTGACACCAACTAAGTCGAAAAAGTAACGGTTAATATAAAATACACAATATTTAATTGATCTATGAAAACGTACTTTTTATACCCAACAATGAATATATTGTACAGCAAATAATAAAATAGAAACTATTAGTTTAGACGTACAAGTAAATTTCTCCCTTTCTCTTACCGTTTCTGGAAATTCAGCCCGTTAGCTTAGTCAAACAAGAAACGGTTAATATAAAATACACACTATTTAATTGATCTATGAAAAGGAACTTGTTATGCACAACAAATATATTGTACAGTAAATAATAAAGCAGAAACTAATATTCGTTTAGACAATTTATGTCAAAGTATTTGACCAATAAAGGAAATTTGACAACAAAAAAAGTCTAATGGACAGTTAAATTTGATTATATATAACACAGAGACTTACCTAATGCAATGCTAAACCAGTTATTACTTCTATAACTGTAACTTAGGTTAAATGGTAATCATTAAAAGACAGTTGTAAAAGGCTAACCACTGATATCACCAAACAATATTAGAGCAGTTTATAAAACTAGACCCAAAAAATTGTGAAATCAACTATACAATATAGACGTTACAAGACTGAACAGAAAATGGACTTTATTAATACAAACTGATTCAAAGCAGTCACAAAAACTAAACAAGCTAAATTAATTTAAATATGTGATAAGATTATAGAAAATAAATAACCCTATGTAATGTAAAGCTAAACAGATGGTGTGTGTGTGCTTTTCCAACGCAGTCCTCAGATCCGGAGGGTAGCAGGGCAGACTGGAGATCAGCAGGACAGAAGATCAGCAGGGCAGACTGGAGATGGTCCCTCTTTCAAGACTGTCTGGCACTGTAAATCAATTGGTTATTGGGTTCAAAAGTTTGGGTTTGGTTTTTGGGTTCAAAAGTTTGGGTTTGTTTTTTGGGTTCAAAAGTTTGGGTTTACTGGCTCTTTTTTAAGATGCGTTAGCAAGCTGCATTGGTGCGTTTGGGTTGGTTTTGCATTGGGGAAGAGATTGCAGATTGGTAGCGTTTGGGTTGCGAGCAAGCAAGCAGCAAGCAGAGCAGCAGCGTTTTGGGATGCAAGGCCAGATTATTTTTTGTCAGTTTGGGAAGAGAAAGTGAAGAAATGGCAAAGGTTTAAGCAAATAAGCAGGATAAAGGTTTGAGTGAAAATGGATAAAAGGTGTTGATAGGACAGGATGGAGAACACACACACACACACACACACACACACACACACACACAAACACACACACAGACAGACACACACAAAGAAAAAAAAACAAGTTAATTACATTTTTTAAAACACACAAACATGCCTATATAAAAGTACAGGAATTATTGAATCATTACATGTAAATAAGAACTATATTGCCATTGCATTAATCATTTTGAATACATCAATAAGTAACTTATATTTTTTGTTATAACTAAAGATGGAATTTATTATTATTTTTTAAATCTTAGTAAACAACATTCCAAATTTCACTATACAGATTTTTCTGTTGCAAAAACATTCTGTTAAACAATTATACTTGTCACGATTAGCCACGCACTCCCTTAATTTTAGACTTAATTTCCATCACGCACCTCCCTGGACTGATTATAGCAAACACCATACACCTGCACTGTGCTGATTACACAGTTCAGGTGTACGGTTCCACACACCACACCAGGGCCAAGTCTTGATCTGCCCCGGCCATCATTTCTAAGCGTTATCTTCCCGAGTTTGATTCCTGTGTTTGACCTGTGGATTGTGTACTGTTGCTGACCCTTCTCTGTCTGTCCTGACCCTGGACTGCTTACTGGACTCTGATTCTCTGCCTGCCGTGACCCTTTTCTTGTATCTGGTTTGTCTTTGCCTTGTCTCTGTTGCCCTGTTTGCTGTTGTTGATCCATGCCTGTCAGACTACTCTATAAAAGCTGCATATGGATCCCCTTGTGTCTGCTGAATCATTACAATACTTACCTAGATGGACACAACTTCCAATCTACTGTAGACAATAAAAAAGAAGAAAAAAAAAGAGACAATTCAGATTTGTTCACAGCTCAAATAAGTCCACGTTCACATTTATCAAAATTGTGTATTGTTATACATTCTTCTTCAAAGATATATTATGTTGTCCCATAATAATTCATAAACATGCTGCAGTGATTTTAAAACTTTCTACCAATCAAAAGTAAGTGAACAATATACAGTGCAAATGGCCAACAAATGAGCATTACAGTAGTACTTACATGGTGAGCTTCTCCAGAGATGACCAACACTGCGAACAAGAAAACAATGTTAAGTTTTAACAGCAAAACAGAACTGACAACATTTTTCATTCACCATTTTCATATCTGAGATCAGCAATACATGACCTTATCGTGAGGGTGCGGGGCTTATTAGATTATTAACTATTTTTAGGGCTGTGTATTGGCAAGAATCTGGCGATACGATACGTATCACGATTCATGGGTCAGTTGGTCATAAACTTTAGGGGGTCGCACACTGAAAAATCCAATAACATCAGCAATTGTCATTCAAGCAGCACACATTAGCAACAATTCGAGATAAAAATAATTGAAATTTTATATAAAACTATGTAAATGGCGCTCTGTGGCGCAGCAGGATTTTGAACATGGTCCTGAGCCGTTGATGGGCGCCGCGTACAGTCACAGACGCCAAATGGCGCCGCCGGTGTGTGTAACACTCATAGAAAATAATGTGTTTGAATTTTAAAGATGTGGCGCTGAGCTTCTCGTCTGGTGTGCGACGCCCTTAAAGACTCTCCGCCGAAACACCCGTTTCACTGTTGCTCACGAGACGGTCCTGCTCGACGCTTTATGCGCGGCTACTGCTCGCGGTGTGAATGAACGCACTCATTGATTAACATGCACGACGAAAAAAATACCCCGCTGCTCATGGGCCGAACTTGTAAAGACACAGTTCACAACTGCATGGTTCCTGTCGATATCGTGCCCTCTTTACTCTAGAAACCAAAATGATTCCACACTTCCAAACGAAATAGAGCGGGAGCCGGTCTTTACATGAGGGTTCAGCCATATGTTGTTTCTAGCAAAACGTTAGGCTAGTGGTGCGTCTATGCATAAAAAAAAATAATAATAATAAAAAAATAAAAAAAAATCGATATTTTGTTTCTGAAAATCGTATCGATTTTTTTCTTACACCCCTAACTATTTTGCTAGCAAAGGTGGAGTGTTTATTAATGGCTTGATCAGGTTATTTCCTGGTATAGTGAGGTAAAAAAAGATCCTAATCATTTTTGTCTCTGACTTAAGAGTATTTCAACATGTCAGCAGGGAAATTTGCGGACACACATTATCCTCTCATGCCAGTACAGATGCAGCATTTTGACTGTATTTCTGCACTAAATAAAAACTTGTTTTAATAATTTATTGTGTCAAGAGTCAGAGTTTAAGTAAGATATGTGTCGTCCTACACTTCACATATGCGCACTTCAATAAGCCCAATAAGTGATTGAAGCTGCTTTTGATTTTTAAAGATGGCAGAGTTGTGCTGTGTTCGTGTACTAAACACTATTATTAGGTGTGTTTCATTTTAGTGATATTACTATTATTTAGTAGCCTAAAGTGTATTGTTTTTAGTCTTATTAGTGTCATTATTTTTTTTGTTAATGTGCTAAGGGAACAAAATACTGACGAACACGATGCCATTTTCATCTTGGATCTGTATAAGAACAATGCGTCTGTAAAAAAAAAAAGCACTCTTGATAATTTGAGAATTACTATATCACTTTGCAATTAAATTTTGATGTGGGATGTAGTTTTTTAGTCTGTTTTAAAAACATTTTCTTAGATGAGTCGTCATACGCATTAATGTTGATAATGATATTGCATTAACATTTAGTGGTAAATATATGCAGTGCAAATGGCATTACAGCAATACTTACATAGCGAGCGTCACCAAAGATGACCAGCACTGCAAACAAAAGAAAAAAGGCATTAAAAAACAATTTAATAAAGAGATCATCATAACAATGTTTTCAAAAAAAAAAACACTATACAAAAATTAATTAAATAAACATTCTTTGGAAACATTTGTTTGAAGATATTCATAAATTCATGATGATCTCAATTCTAGAAATACTCAACCAATAATTTTGGGAAATTTAGTTGTAGTTTGTTTGAAAAAAAAAAGATCCATATTAAAATAAAATAATAAAGAAACTCCATGAAACCAGCAGAATGTGAAGCTTGCCTCATCTGAGTGGATGAGCAGGGCATGAGTTTTAAAAAATAACTTGAGTGACAGCAACACATATGTACACACCTGTGATTGCAGAAGGGCAGATGGCTCTTAAAAGAGCCTTTGGGTTTCTTTTATGCTGTTAAGAGAAAAACAAAAAAGATGAAAAAATAATCACCAAAAAAAAACAAAAACAACCCATCTTATATATTACAGAGGTGTGTGAGAATTTGGAAAGCGTGAATCAAAAAGAATACTTACATAGCAGAGGCAATGACCGTTTTCTAAAGTGTAAAAGGAATAAGAAAAAAGCATCACTGAATATCTTAGTCAATGTGCAGATTATTTATATACAATCTAAAGAGAAATTATCACTGACAATCAATTGTCTATGCCAATGATCATATAATGTATATAATCATTTAAATGTAGATTATCACTATAGAATAGTGAGAAATAGAATGTACTGATGAACTTTATACAGTCAATAGAAATGATTACACCAATATGTTACGAATAAGAACATCATAAGTAGATTATATTGCAACAAATTATGGAAAGAAAAAAATTGGGTGGACAATGTGCAGCCAACGAAAATAACGTTACCTTTAACCTGTGTAATGACGTACAGCAAAAGCATACATTTACATGTAAATACATTGTAAATAAAACAGTATGTGTGTGTGTGTGTGTGTGTGTGTGTGTGTGTAGCTATCAATTATGAAAGGCTGAAACATGAATCATACGTAATTGAACATTCGCAGGGCGTTTGATTGTCTGACACAGCAGTCAGGAGAGTTAGTAGATTAACTTTGGAGGATTTGAACTTGAGAATCGGAGTGTACTGGCGTCTTTCCGCGGTTAAAACAACATTCATTCGTCTGTTCATTCATGTTTATTTGATGCTACAAATTAATTAGAAGGAAGAGATGATCGGCTTTAACTGAGGATTTAAGCGATCTGTCAGACACATTATAAAACCACAAAACCATATTTATAGAAAATTATATATAAAAAAAAATTAAAAAAGACCAAATTTGAAAGGTGAGCGTTTGTTTCATATCAAAAGTAACCTGGTCTGTCCTGTCTGTCTGCGCGCTGTCTGTCTCCTCTCTGCTCCGCGATGTATCGTTCAGTGAGTGAGAACATGGAGTGGCGTGGCGTCGCGTGAGTGAGAGCGTTCTCGATTGCAACGGTTACTAAAGGGAGCGAACGCTCTACTTTAACGAACGCTATTGAGCGTGTAAATTTAGGCTATGTATTTAAATAGGTATGCTTTAATTAACATGGAGTAGCAAAGCTTTGTTTACGTTTATAAGACGTAAAGCCTTCATGTTCAGTATGTGCACAATATCGACTTAGCCCGGCCTTTATATCCATAGCTTGGCCATAAACGTCACATCCCATAACAAAACGGACATAGCCTAAATGTATTCCAGTTAATTAACTCCTGTACGTCTCAAAAAATAAACATTTAAAACGTAAATTAACTCTTTATTACCGTTAACTTACCTCGGAGAATAACAATGACGTTAGTGGCTAGTCGGCCGCATCAGGCCTCTAAGTTTGAACAGCAGTTTATGAAAGTAATTCTCATAAATCGTAATACTCTGTCTTAATCAGGCTAAATTACATTTTTTTTTAGTCCAATTAATTAATTCACCACTAGTTTGCTGATTCTTCTGAATTTTAAAAGACACTTACCTGACCGAAGAAAGGAGAGTTCGTCGTCGACTAGACTAGAACAGGATAATGATGATTTCCCACGCGCAGTTCAAGCAGTCTAATTGGTTATGATCAATCACGTGCTGAGGTCGTCTTTTTTGGGCGGGAAATTATATACAATTTCCGCATTGTATAAATGTTTAATACATCACTAAAGAATACCAACAATAATAAAATAAGTAAATTAATAAAGTCGACTAGTCGATTAGTTTTAATTGGAAAAAGTTTATGAATTTATAATACATATGCATACTAGTGCATTAAAATAAGTTTATTTAAATGGATTATATAGTAAATTAAGTTCATTAAAAAGAAGTTAATATAAAAACATGCATTATTATAATAAATACAATTAATTAAAAATATGTTTATTTAAATACATAATAGTTAATTAAACAAGTTTATTTAAAACATAAAAACAATTCATTGAAAATGTATTTTAATGCATACTTTATAATAATAAATAAAATCATTCACATAATTTAATTTCAATAAAAATATAATAAATAACATTTCTTTCTTTCTTTCAAACTAATCTCTTTCTTTCATTCTAACTAATCTATCTTTCTTTCGTTCGTTCTAACCTATTTTCTAACTATTCTATCTTTCTTTCTTTCTAACTAATCGAACTTTTTTCTTTCTAACTAATCTATCTTTCTTTCTAACTGATCTATCTTTCCTTCTTTCTAACTAATCTCTTTTTTCTTTCTAACTAATCTGTCTATCTTTCTTTCTAACCAATCTATCTATCTATCTATCTATCTATCTATCTATCTATCTATCTATCTATCTATCTATCTATCTATCTATCTATCTTTCTTTCTTTCTTTCTTATCTTTCTTTCATTGAAACTAATCTTTCTATCTATATATCATTTATCTATCTTTCAAACTATTCTTTATTAACTAATCCATCTATCAAACTTCAAACTACTTTAAACTTCTTCAAACGCTCTGGTCCGGCTTTCTCAAGCCAACTTAAAGTTTGTTTCATCAAACTTTTTTTTCTAGTTTATATTTATTATTAGATTATGTGTATCTATTTCTTACCAGTAATTTGCCGGTAGACGATGTGGCTGTTGAGTAAAACAGTGTCAAGTAGGTGAAAAAAGATCTTCTTGTACCACTTGGTAGATTTTCTGGTGCATTCATGAAAACCAGTCATCATGTCAGCTTTGTCAACTGCCCCCATCTTTTTTGTTATACTCCAGCACACAGACTGGCTTCATCTTTGGTTGCCCAGTGATGTGATCGAGCTTCCCTGTGGCTGCCATACCAGTTGGGTGGACTGTGGTAAGGACATGAACATCCCTCTTGTCATGCCATTTTACTGCCAACTGTGATCCATTTTCTTTAAATTCAACCTCACCTTTTGTCATCTTACAGGTGAACTTTGGCATCCCTTTCCTGTTTGCCCGCACAGTCCCACAAGCTCCAGTGGCAAGTGACAAGAGGTGCTGGAAAAGTGTGGGACTACTGTACCAATTGTCCACATAAAGAACATGACCTTTTCCAAGGTAAGGTGCCAGAAGTGTCATCACAACAGACCCAGAAATCCCAAGTCCTTGGTAATGTTGGATGTCAGTGGTAGATCCGGAGTAAATGATCATGTCCTGCACATAACCAGTTAGCACATCACACAAAACAAAGAACTTGACCCCAAATCTGTGTCGTTTAGATGGAATGAACTGACGAAATGCCAGCCTGCCTTTCCACTTCATCAGAGACTCATCCACACACAGATCCCTGTATGGGACAAAAATGCGACGAAAGGAGGACGTGAGAGCAGTGAATATGTTTCTTATTTTTTTCAGCGGGTCATTGAAAACTGCTGTCGCATTGTTTGCGAAGTGTAGACAGCGGAGGAGCAGAAGGAAGCGGTCCTGAGAAAACAAAGATCCGAAAAATGGTGTCAAGAGCATGGGGTCTGTGCTCCAGTAATCACGAAGTGATGGTTTTTTGATCACCCCCATTAGGAGCACTGACACTAAAAAGGTGTACATTTCAGGGATATTTGTTGGAACCCATTTAGCTAGTTTTCCTTTAACTTCCTTTTCTAGCAAGTCAGAGGCATAGCGGTTTGTTTCCTCCACTATTTCTCCGATGACTTCTTCTGTGAGGAACAATTTAAAACAATTGACCTCACTGGGCGATTCTGGTGGATTTTGTACACCACGCTGCTGGTTGTCAAAAGTGCCTGGGCCAGGAGGATTAAAAAGGTTGGTTGCCTTCCATGAAAATGAGCTTACCTCTTCTGCTTCATTTGACATAGGTACAACATGGACGGGTGTTGTCTCTTCTTCAATGTCGTCAAGAGCTTCAAGATTTGGGGGAAGATCTTCATCGCTGTCACTTTCTGCCTCGCTGTCAAAAATCTCCTCATCAGAATTAAAAAAAATCTCCTCAATTTCCTTGTTTGTCAGTTGTCTTCTTTTATATATATTTTCTGTCATTTTTTCTGAAGAACTTTAAAGCTAGTGAACTTGATAAAAAGTTGTGTCTTAAATCAGAAGCGAGTGTGAGGTAACGGTGACGTCAGCTCTACATCACTTGTCAGCGGAAAAAAAAGACTCGCAATGCATGACCGTTACAATCTCTTTTATTTTTTTATACAAAATATTTACACAATTGTTAACTACATTGTTAAATATATGCAAGGGAACTCCTAATGTGGTTTTAATACTTAAAAATAAAAAAAGATAATAATTAATCGGTAAGTTATCACCATGGTTATCACGGACGGGCGTCGCCATTATTTGTTTACAATGCTTAACACTGATGGAGCTCGACTTAGAGCCTGCTGGATATACAACATGCACGATCATCCATGTCTCCCGGAATATATGACGGTAACCCCCGCTTTCACTTCTCCTCACGCGACGCTCCTGCTCGACGCTCACACAACGCACCTGCTCGACGCTCACGCGTTGCTCCTGCTCCCGACCCGGTATGAATGCACTCACTGATTAACATGCACGCCGAAAGTGCTGCTGACGCTTGGGGTGTGAAACGGACGTTTTATCTACACAATGTGTTTGATTTGACTCGAATTAAATATTACATAATGTTTAGGTTATTATAAAAAGGTGATCTTGCTGGTAAAGATATTAGTGTGCAATAACAAACTGTTTAGTTTTTACTAGTATTTTTGTTGTTGTGTATTGTCATTTAAAGTGTATGAAATCTAAAATACACTGAACATTTTCAATAAATGATGAGCACTGAGCATGTCTGTCTCTGCCTCAGTGCCAGTCAAAGCGCCAAAGCAGATTTGAAATTTTGAATTTAGCAGTTGATCGCGTGACTCACTGAACGTTCTAATCACACCGGTGTGATCGTACGCTCCAGGGACCAGCCAAGACTGATCACACCGGTGTGATCGTACGCTCCAGGGACCAGCCAAGACTGATCACACCGGTGTGATCGTACGCGTCAAAGGGTTAATGTTATACCTATGAGTGATTCCTCATTGTTATCACCCACTGCACTGGGGACAAAGAAATGTTGGCACAATCCTAAATGCTCTTCCAGGATGTCCACAAAATTGTACACTTGAAGACCTGTTCTGAGTTGCTTCAGCCAAGGGATCAGACGCAGGGTTACACTAAAGATATTTAGATATATCGATCAGTTCGATCTGATAATCGGTTCAATCGGACTCAGTGTGCAAGAGGTAAAAACGATATAAATACTGTTCGTTTTCTCACACAAACCGCTCGTTTCGTGTCTTAGGCCATCAGTGTGTACTTACATTCACGAGTCATTAAATCATGTTTAATTTGGACTTCTCTGTGCATGCTCTTTGAGGTGGACACAGTTTCAGATGCTCATTCATGTTTATTTCACGCTGTAACTGGTATTATTAAGCCGGAAGAGAGATATCAGTGCTGCTGCTTCTCTTGAGCTGCGCCAGAGCGATCTCACGCCACAGCGCCAAAACGTTACTTATGTTTTTGAATTTCTAAAGAAAATGGACGTAATTTGAAATTTGAGACTTTGTTTCATATCAATAGTAACAAAGGACAAAGATTATTGTGATTTTTTTGGATGAAGAAGAGGAATAATAATTAAAACGAAAACGATTTCAATAGGTGCATCCACACCTTCGGTGCTTGGCCCCTAATTAAAGACATTTTAAGAGGATTTGGGGCAAAATAGCTGCCCAGCCAGCATGTATAATCGGCCCGAGCTCGGCTGCCTCGCGGCGCCTGCGGCTTAGACTCGGCATCGGCGTGTGTTAACGGGCCGATTCTGGCCTGCAGCTCGCGCTGGCACATGCATTTTCTTTCCGGCTGTAAAGCACTGGGCCGATTCATGTTCACCGTAACTGATAACCAGGCTGGCAGCTCGCTCTGGCACATGCATTTTTTTACGGCTATAAGCACTGGGTTGATTCATGTTTGCTAACCCGTTCATGTTTGTATGATCTGGACCACTTCTGGAAATGACTCGGCTGGTTAAATCAAGGATGGTTTTAATGTAGCAATAAATAACATAAAAATATTTCAAAGTCTTTCTTTCTTCATTCTTTAATATTAATAACCATAACAAAAATATTTAGTTGTCATGATCATTATGTTTATGAAATATAACTGTGGAAGAAAATAAAGTTGAACAAAATGTTAGCTGGATTAAGGCCAATTCAGACAGCACAGACAAACAGCAACAAACATTGTCCTAGAAAGTATACACATCTTGATCCTGTAAGAAAATGTTTATTATACTTATGTAAATTTTAACAGAGGAATGATGTGGGAATGTGTGGGTATAATGCTGAAAGCTGGGTCATTGTCTGTTGCTGAGTGAGATGGCTCTTAATATGAAAATGAATTGAGGACTCCGTCCGCCATTTTGTGAACGATGTGACCCAATAGGTTTTCACGACTCGTCGTGTATATTTCAATCCGGAAGTCGGCCATTTTGGAGGCACAGAACATAAACAATGCCATTGAACTGAACGGGCTCGCATATTTGGCTGATTATTTCTGCTGAAAAATTGTCGATTTTTGGTCTGTACCTATCGGTTGCATCGGGAAAATACCTTTCGAGTTCTATAGACTGTCAAAAGTTAAAGAGAAGAGTGTAAAAAACTGATGAAAGAAGGCGTTTGTGGTGAGAGAGGCACAGCATCAGCTCATCAGCCACATCACATGTGTAAGTTAAACGAAGCTTTGACTATGGCTAAAATGCTAACGTATTAACTATGACTACATTCACACTGCCAAAATATCTTTGTATCCGATTGGAATCTGATCTAAAATGATGCCCACACTATTTATCGCAACTTTTCAGATCCGTTTTGTGAGTCCATGCAGCTCTCGGGCAAGACGGCATTGACATTGACACTTTTATTTATTTGTTTATTTGAAAAGGGACAATGTACACTAATCAACATTCACAACAAATGTAAGTGCACCCGAGTTAGCCACAGGCTAGTTTTCATCGGCAGTCCCCTTGCCAGATGTTACTAGGCATCCTAAGATAATAAATAATAACAATGCAATACAGTTCAATATACAATAAACAAAAAGTAAAAAGAATAGACTGTGTTAAAATCACAAATAATCAAATAAACATGAGATATAAAATATAATTAGATGTTAATAAACGATACAATTATTGTTGATGAATTGGACCCGCATCAATGTTGACAGTGTTGATTTTCAATAAGCCATTTCTTAACATTAATCTTAAATGAGTAATAAGATGTAGACTCTCTAATTAGTGGGGGTATTGAGTTCCATTCATGCGAAGCAGTAAATGAAAAGACAGCCTGACTGAACGCTGTTTTTTTAAGTGGGATTATACAGTCTCTCCTAGCTGCACCTCTTGTAACTCTGTTTGTATTTGATTTAAAAGTGATAAGGCCAAATAAAGGAGGAGGAGCTAAGCAGTGCATGATCTTATAAACTAAGCAGACATTTCTGTATTTTATTAGGTTATCCCAACTAAGCAATTTATACTTCTGTAGGATATGGCAATGGTGATGACGAAATGGCTTTTTATCTAGAATTTTAAGTGATTGTTTGTATAATGACTTTAATGGTTTTAAGGCTGTAGCGTGTGCGTTGGACCAACTTATCAAACAGTAGTTTATGTGGGAGAGAATTAATGAGTGGAAGTATACCTTAGCTGCCTCAGTTGATAGGAGGGTCCTGATATACCTGAAATTAACCAAACTGAACTTTACTTTATTACAGACCCTCTTTATATGGGTTTTGAAGGTAAGGTTTGAGTCCAAGTGTAGTCCTAAGTACTTATATTCTGAGACAACTTTTAATCTATGTCCAGAAATAGAAATGTCTTGTTCTGCATCTATGTGGGAACCTTTGGAAAAAAACATACAAACTGTTTTTGAAACATTCAGTTGCAAACAACATTGGTTAAGCCAAGATGTGACCTTCACTAATACATCTGTTAGCTTGATTGCAACCTCTGTAGCAGTTTTACCATGAGTAAAAATAACTGTATCATCGGCGTACATTAAAATATCACAATTTTCACATGCAGAGGGTAGATCATTAATGTATAAGCTAAAAAGGGTAGGACCTAGTATGGAGCCCTGCGGGACCCCAGTTGAAAGACATAGGGGGTTCGATTTATAGTTACCAATTTTAACATATTGAGATCGACATGAAAGATAAGATTCGATAAGATTGACCAACTCAGGTGAGAAATTGAAATTAAGTAATTTATACAATAGAACAGGGGTGGGCAACAGTTTTAGTCTGAGGGCCACAGTTACTTTGTCAAAGTAACCCGAGGGCCACCCTTTGGACAATTGCAATTGAACATAGTTAAATGATTTAATTAATACAAATTAATTCAATGCAAGTATACAGTTTTTGTATACGAATATGTCTCTACAGTTATTTACAGCTACTATCTGGATTTACTTTCAAGCATTAATTTCCTACACTACCCATATTGTTCAACTGTCATTAATACCAGCTGTAGCTATTCAAGATAGAAAACTATTAACAAAACTGCAAATATATGTTTGTGCAAATTTATTAGCATACTGATACAGACTTCAGGCAATCTGGCTCGGAATTATCAAATTTTATTGAGGCTATATACCACCAGAGGGAGAACTTCATCACTGAATAAAAAACATTTTCAGCTGATTTCATTTGTGATTATTCATTTTTTGTAATTTCTTTCACATATTTTGTTCAAATCTTTTATAAAATAGAACACAATTTAAGTAAGTGCAGATTAACTTCAAACATATGTTTGCTTGAACGATATAAAGGACAACATTGAAATAGGCCTATGCATCCCACAAAATTTAAATTTGATTTAGCTGTATCATAACCATCTACGCGGGACATGCATAAGAAATGGCAACATGAAAC